CACACCAATTTTATTCATCAAGGTTATTCATCTGGTCCTCTCCGTGTATATGAGAATTAGATTTAATCACTGGATTCGGGTTGGTCAAACACATTCGACGTTCCCATATTTATAGTCTTACTGTACATTACGGGAAAAAATGCCTCCTCAGATGAAAAAAAAACGGCATATTATATTTGAAAGCCAGAACTAGACCCAGGAGGCCATAAGTGTTTCAGCTAGCTTGTTTGATCAGCCCCTAGACCTTGTCAGAAATCAAAATAATAAAAAAGCAAACTTTGCTATCAATAATACTGTACAGAATACCGTTTTAGGGCCATCATGGTTGAAACGTTATAATCCAGAGGGCGACAATGTGATAGTGCGACAACGCGATGGCGATAGAACGAGAGTACAGTGACGATAGTACATAGTGCGGATGATGACAACGCGACAATGCAATGGCGAAATGCGATGACGACAGTACGACAATGCGACAGTGCGATAATGCGATGGTGACAATGCGATAGTACGATGACAATAATGTGATAGTCTATAGCATTGTCGTCCTCGTGTTATCGCGTTGTCGTCATCGTACTATCACCATCGTGTTGTCGCACTATCACATTGTAGCTCTCTGGAATAGAATACATAAACGTACAACCACGATGGCCCTAACGGTTTTTTCCGTAATACTGTGCTTTTCGCTTCATAGATTCATTGAATTTAAGCTTACTTGAAAGAAGAATTAACTTTGAATAAAGTTAGTCCTTCTAAACTAAAGTGATTCAGTTTTTTAATTGTGCTTAGGTCAAATAAAAAATATGTTGGTTTGAAGTGCCCGCTACCTTCCCATCTTCAATTCTTTTAGGTCATCGACTTGCCGATATGTATCCTGTTCTCCCATAATTACCTCCCCTTAATAAGAATATGGCATTTGTAATTAAGATAAGTAACGGAATATATTTGCTATGTTTTATTAAAACAACTAAACCATGTGTAATCTGATTATCTCATGACAGTATACTTTGTGTCGTTAATGGTTAGTATTAGAAAATTGTAACTCTGAAACTTCAATTAATTGAGAATGTTTGCATGAAGTACACAAAATCACAAAATACTATCTCTTGTGCAACAGTGATTAAATAATTATTAAAACACCAGGTAAGCAATGTTGATAAAATGAAGCACAAAATGAAGCACCTTTTGAAATTTTATCTTTTTGTAATTTACAGGACATACATTGGAAACAACGTATAAAGGAAGTCATAGACAACATTAAAAATAGTAAGACAAAGAAGAAAAAACAGCCCCCAACTACTAGTTCGCTGCTCCAAGAAATGAAACACTGATTTGTTTCTACTTCATTTTGTTTATTGCTAAATAAAAGTTCTTTTTAAAATCAATATTATAATAAAATACTAACATTTTAAAAAAGATATTGTCATTGTGCTTTTAGAATACAATTGTGTTAATCGTCCTTGATTTTACATCCTGTAATTTATAGCTCGACTATTCGAAGAATAAGGAGAGCTTTCACCTCATCCGGGCGTCGGCGTTAGTTTAATGTTCTGTCCAATTTTTCATACCACATCAATTATGTTCCAAGTCCCTTAAGATATCGCTTTGAAATGTTGCAGACTTGTTAACCACCATGACCCCAACCCCTAGACATGGGTAGATAACTCAGTCAAGCATTTTGTTAAAATTGACTGCCTTGTCGACTAAGATGGTTTTCATTTTACTACCAAGAACTAAGAATAGTCGTGTGTGCTGCCCATGACGCTCTTATTGTAGTATTTAATTCGCGTGAGCTTAAGAAGAAGCTTTGCTGAGAATGATATTGTTGTTATCTAGAGGAAAATATAACAAAAAGAACCACCTTCCGTGTGCTGGTGTCTCGTATCCAAAGCTGTGCTATGCCAATCTTAAATTTGCTAGAGAAAAATAGGACTGGTGGAATAAGAACAAAAAATCATAGTTTTGGTGCATCCATTTGTTTAATCCATTTTGAGGGCTTATTGCGAAACGGTTGTAACTTAACCTAGATAAAGAAGGAGATACAACTGTTTTGCACCAAGCCCTTGAATTATATTTTTAGTTGCATTTTATGATACACGTACAGCTTCATGGCGGTTGAAAATCTGTTCCTTTGCCAATCCCCAAACCATATATTAATTCCATGCATTTGTAATAGAGGTCGATACGTATAAAGTCAAGACCACAAGTGTTTGAAGTCACCACTCACAAGTAGGAAGTCAAAAGTCACAAGTAGAAAGTCACAAGTAAGAAGTCAAAAGTCACAAATAGGAAGTCTCTAGTCAGAAATACGAAGTCACAAGTCAGACCATTGTGCACGAAGTGTCATTGCAATATCGTTTAAAACGTCCTTAGCTTTACAAATGCGTCATCCTGGAAATTTTGAAGCTGACCTTATTACCTATAAGAGCCAATGCTTTCTATAAGCGCCCATCCCTTCTTTTCCATTTGTAAGTGGTAAAGCGCCCAGGATAAATTGTCTTAAAAGAAAAAAAATCAACTGACCACAATCGACATTTTTAAATTGTTATGGCATGTCCGCGGGCCTAGAAAATTTCACTGTACAAGGAAAGACTGTGAATATTCACATTTCAACCCCATTGTAGTGATTTGACAGTAAACGGGACCACTTTAAATACGAGATATCAAACAGAATTTGCATAGCTGTGACTCTTACATATTGTATACTTTTGTAAGACCTGACTTCTAATAAGCGCACACCTTTCACAATTTTCTAAGCGCCCTGGGCGATTACTAGGAAGAATACGGTAGTACTGGCTAGATATCCTGTGCAAGTTTCGTACTAGGGCGTTTGGTCTACAAAGATGAACGTGAGGCAGTGAATTAATTTTAATAGCCAGATTCTAATTAACTGAAAGTTAAGTATATCTGCCCTAGTAAGTCTGCACACCTGGGTCTACACTTGTCACAGGTCCGTAGTTTTACTTGACTGAAACGTTAACGGTTACAAACAGACCTTTGTGAGCCATGATGTATTTGAACGTAGAAATAACATTTGACTTTCGTGACAAATTCGTTTGTTATAATTGACTGTCAAACATAAGAATAAACATATGCCACGTACGTTATGAACTATAAAATACATTATACTATAGTTTACAACATCATCACGATCATCATCGTTAATATAGTTATCATCATCGTCATGATTATAATCATTATCATCGAAATCAACCTCTGCTTATCATCAACAGCATGTTAACTATTTAAATTATAAAGTCAACCTTCATCATGAGGAGCAGCATCATGACAATCATCATTGCAGTCAACATACTTATAATGATAATCATGATGATGTAGATGATGATAATAATGATGGATCGTGTTGATCATTTGTTCTCTCACAAAACAACTTTATGGCTTAAAAAAAGACGTCAGTCTTCATACGAGTTTGCCACTAAATCATTCAACTCCAGGAACAAATTCAATGCTGAATCGGCATCTACTGGCATTTGGAGGTCGGGCTTTAACAGATAAGCCAATTCGCTGAATTCGTCAAACTTTCTCTTTGGAACTGAATACATGTCTTTACAACAGGTCACATCACGCTTGTCAACCACCGTACCATAATCAAGCGCGCCAAACGTTTCAGGTAAAAAAACATAATGTCAGGTTTTCCGTAATGTGCGTCGGAATTGTGCTGAGGTATAATTTCATGTACATTCACAATGTATCTGGTCGAGTTCATTGAAACGACCAGAATCGCGCAAATTCTTAAACAAATTAATCCACCACTGTATTCCGTGTTGACGTAGCGTACCCCACCATCTTTCAATGCGCTGGTTAGAAGTGCTTCTTCCAACAATAACGCTGCGACTACCAGCAAAGTGGTCGGTTGCTTCATTCCGAAAGAACTGCTGTAGAAGACAAACAACACTGCTTTCTGTTCCAGCATCGCAACGAAGTATGCGAGGTGTTTTTTCAATGCGCTTCAATGCATCCAAATAATATATCGCAATCAGTTTTGGATCGTTGTTAGTGTAAGAAACTTCTTACCAGGTAACTTTCCTGCTAAAACCATCTACCGCTCCGTGTATAAAAATCCGAATGGTTTTAACTTATCATAACCAACTTAATGCCAAATATTGGTTGGCCCTTTTGCACAATAGAAACGTCTTTTAAGTCGATGTGCTTTTCTCATTTCAACACCCTCCGTTTATAAAAATCCGAATGGTTTCAACTTATCATAACCATCTTAATGCCAAATATTGTTTGGCCCTTTTGCACAATAGAAACGTCTTTTAAGTCGATGTGCTTTTCTCATTTCAACACCATTGGATCTATTGCCTTCATTATGTCCATATAACATCTTTATGGCTTACATCCATATTATGATGCACGTTAAGCCGGCGCCATATCGTCCGATAACCGACAGACTGTCCACTATAATGCATTTCTGTGCCAATTACACGAACAACGTTTTTCAACTGCGATTGCAAATGTACACCTCGACGTTTCAGGTTCAATTTCTTCAAGATTCTTTTCAGCTGACGCATTGACAACAAAATACAATGCTTATATAGCAAAAATCCAAGAATTTCACTGTATTTAAAACCTTGTTTGAAATATTCTTCAATAAGGGATGCTTTATCAACATTCGGAGACGACAAAGGCAGGTAAGCTGGGACCACACCAGCTGTTATCTTCAACAGAATGCACAGAAAACAACACGCAAACACGAATTTCATATTTTAGCACAACACAGCCATCATCGCTCATTGCTCACGTGCTCTCTTAAAGTGTGACTTATTAATTAATTTCACAACTAAGAAGTAATAAGTCTTGAGTTAAAAGTCAAAACTCCCAAGTCAAAAGTCATAACACCCAAGTCAAAAGTCATTAAGTCAGAAGTCAAAAGGGCCCTCCAGTGCTTCCATAAACTACTGAACTAATTACAGATTATCAAAATGTGCTTCTATATAACCTAAAAGATAAGGAGATATTTAGGACAAAACAAATTTAAATTTGTCCTAACTTCGCACTTCTGTGTTAGCGGCAACAAAGCAAACATGAAAGTTCTACTTTATTTTGTGTTACTATATTTGGGTTCTTCGGTCGTACTGTGTGAGTCACGTGATGAATTAGTTGAGAGACTTTTACAAGAAACCACGGAACTCAGAAAAGAAACTATGGAACTTAGACAGGAAAATATCAAGGTGTGGGAGAAAATAAAACAGTTAGAGGTCGGAAAAGATATGACACAGCATAAATCAAAACGATGTAAGTGTATATATATTTTTTCCTCAATAATACGAGTATATATATACACATGTATTACTACTCTTTTAAAATGTTCCAACATAATGGGTTTGCGACCAGCATGGATCCAGACCAGCCTGCGCATCCGCGCAGTCTGATCAGGATCCATGCTGTTCGCTATCAGTTTCTCTACTTGTTATAGAGTTTGTAAGCAAACAGCATGGATCCTGATCAGACTGCGCAGATGCGCAGGCTGGTCTGGATCCATGCTGGTCGCAAACCCATTATGTTGGTTTTGTCATGACACGGCTCATATATTTATAGAGAACAATATGTGTACATTTTCCTTTTTTTTCAAATAATAGAACCATTGCGTCATTTAAATGTAATTTTCAAGGAGCCGTAGCGTATTTCTTATTTCAAAATACTTTTCTTGCTGAATTTAGATTTGAATTTAAAATTGTTTATCTTTAATATTCGGCAATTTTCGTTTCATTCTTCGTTGTATTGAAACCCAATAATGACCAAGAATAACAGAAATATTGTCAACTTAACGCTTTTAAAATTATTTTGTACACGGAAAGTGCCGAAGACAGCAAGACCGATGCGCTTTTGGTAATTCAAACCCCTTAAGGGTTAAATGAACGATTAAAGACGATTTACTAACAAATAAAAGATATACAAATTGCTTTAGAAACTGATGAAACAATACATATTTTTCATACAATAGTTACGAATATATCTGTATTTAAATGGTGAAATGTATAAAACCACAATGCATCAAAATCATATATATGTTGTTTTATTTGCATTTTTAAGTGCTTGATTCGATGATCCCTCAGCCCAAAAACAAAGCCGCCTTTTCCGCCAGTCTTACGAAACACATGCTCAATGTTGGAAACTATCAAGCCATTATTTTCGACAACGTGTTTACCAATGACGGGAATATGTATTCACCGTATACCGGGGTTTTCACTGCACCAACCAACGGGACATATTTCTTCATATCGACGGTGATGAGTCATTCCGGGCAATACCTTGAGACAGAGATTTGCCTGAACGGAAACAGCCTCGTTCTCATGTATTCCCTTGATAATTCTTCTGAGCAAGGAACCAACAGCGTTGTTCTAGCATTGAAAGAAGGTGATCGAGTATGGGTGAGGCATCATGGGACAAGAGGAAGTAACGTGTATGGAGGTCACTGGAGTAGTTTTTCTGGCTTTCAGATAACCGGTTGACATCGTTTATTGTTGTAGAACAGGTCATTTAACTTAACAGAAATAAATGTATTATATATGTTTAAAAATTTCATTTTTGTTCTTCTTTAACAGCTTACTAACTCTATATGAAAGACTGCAACATTTGGCGCCTAGATACTTGAGTAGAGACAATGGCATTTTGCTTCGGCCTGCTTTTGTCTCTATAAACTTGCTGTAAGGTTAGAAATGGGTCGTTGGTTTTAGTCCTATATTACTCACGACCAAGTATCCTGATAAGGCACACGTATTTGTTAATTTGAAAGCGGACCATAATCGGACATATAAAGGTACTCGAAACTTGGTTATCATTGACAAAAGAGGGGATCATATTTCCATCGTTATTTAGAGCCGTGGTTCACAATTCATCATATGAAGATTCTGCAGATTTAGATGTGTATGAAGGCATCAGATGCCACTCGATGTAAAAACGGTATATTAATGTTGAGTCACGTGTAGGAATCTTGATTAAACCACCAATCTTCCATTCCATCATTGGTTACCCCCCGGTATATGTTCTGTACAAGACCATGTAACTTTTCCATAATATTGCAAGTTACCTACCCCATGAGTAAGGAGCACTGCGTATTCTGTGGTATATAGTTTTTTGGACTTACTTTGGAATGATCAAAACTTGGTCTTTACATATAGAAAAGAGTTGCATTTACCAGTACTTAAAGTATAGTATGTCTTAATGACCGAGATAAGCTGTACGAATGATTATTTTCTATTACGAGCACTTGATATTGTGGCGCCGTTATGTGTCACAACGACGCTAAATGTCGCACTTGCCACTAAATGTCACACCATTGTCGCTAAATGTCACAACCGTCGCTAAATGTCGCACAATCTTCTGCCATTAAATGTCACAATATTAACATTAAATGTCGCAGGATTTTCCCTTGCCGTTAAATGTTGCAACAATGCCGTTAATGTCGCAAGATGTATATGTATATTCATAATAAAATTAAGTTAGCTGGTGGTATTAAATTACAATAAACATTAAGGTTTGTGGCGCCGTTATATGTCGCAACGCCGCTAAATGTCGCACTTGCCGCTAAATGTCGCATCATTGCCGCTAAATGTCGCAACCGCCGCTAAATGTCGCAAAATCATTTGCCGTTAAATGTCGCAATGTTAGCGTTAAATGTCGCACGGATTTCCCCTACCGTTAAATGTCGCAACACTATCGTTAAATGTCGCAAGACGTTGAACTATTATGTTATATCAATTAAATCTGCCTACACAAGACGAATTATGTCTGTTTGAAAACGAGTGATTTTATCATATATGGAAATGCGCTGCAAATAATACAACGATTATACTCATATTATAAATAAATGTATATTGTTTTGCGTTCGATTTTTACCTGATCTTATACAAGTACATATTGATAAATTAATTATACAATTGTCTACCATTTGTATGAAACTGCAAAATTTACATTGTTATGTAAATAGTTTTGTACAAACATGTCTGTAAAATTAGCAAAAGAGACAGCCTAACGGCCAGTCTGAGTTTGCAGAATGATGGCCTAGTAGGCTGAGGAGGCAAATCGTCTCGCAGCCGGAAGAGGAAGCCTAAATTGCTGACGACATGGGCCTTAGGAGTTTGCCTAACGCCCTAGAAGTCGGCAGCCCTGCATCCTAAGAGACAACCTGGTATGTGTTAAACAAAATCAGTTTTGAAAGCATAAAACATGTTATTTGCACAAACAGTTTATATGCTTTTATTATATTTGCGTGTTTTTATTTCCATTTTAACGCCAGAGAGGCAGTGCTCATTCATATTGTTTCTTCAATAAATATAAAAATGTTTACTTTACGCATCTGTTCCATATTTTATTTTGAACAATAAAGTTCTCTTAAAATAAATACTCTATAGTGCCTATGTTTTGTATTTATGGTCATTTGAATTTTACTATGATGTTCTCGACATGCGCGTTAGAACACGATAAGAAATCAAAAAGTTCTAATCAAACTCGTGACAAAAAAACTACGAGCATAAAAGTGGTTACAGATATAATTAATATCGTCGTTACACATGTATAATGTATGTCTTGTGTTGTTTTTTTTTTTTCGAGAAAAATGTCAGATTAAATTTCATTAAAATCGTAACAGATTAAGATTTTCATTACAGCAAAAGCAATCATGTGACAATAAAATATGAAAAAGCCTAGATTCCCTGGCCAATACGGCTAGCTGTATTCAACCAAATAGCAAGGCCAATATGAACATAATTAATTATTGGTATTCTTATAGAGAATCTATCATAGTATAAAGCGGCGTGACGAGTGAAATATTAATATAATGTCCAAGCGTAAATAGTGTTTGACAAATGGTAAAATGTACTTAATTTTCTGTACGTTTTCTAATTTTGACATCTGCTCACTCAGCTGCCGGCATATAATATGATAATATCTGCTAATCGTGAAATTCGCTCATATCTAACACCCGACCGCAGATCGGCAAACCTGTGAGGAATACTAAATGATCAAGGAGTACTACACGAATGCTAAGTGCAAGATTTCAAAATGGCCCAAAACACTTCCCATTTCGAATAAGACCAAGCTTGTTTGTCGATTTTCGTGTTGACCGTGCATTTCATACTGTGCATTTTTTCACGTATTTGCCGTTTCTGTTAAAATGAAATTTTTGCCTTGATATACAATCAATATTTCAAGTTTGAAGTGAATATTTGTGATGGTTTTGGGAAAAAAATATAAAAAGGGAGATAATTAAGCAAAAATGCCTTTCAAGATCTTTCCTTTAGAAATACATTTTACTTTTATATGAAATAAGTATTTAATGTTTAAAGTGAATATGTTTGAACTTTTTTGAGCAATTAGCCGTAACCAAAAGGTTAATCAAGGCGAAAACATAATCGAAAACTTAACCAAAAAGGTTAACTAACGCCGAAAAGAATGAAAAAAATCATTTCTCATAATCGTTCAATCGGGAGGAAATAAAGTTAGCAGTCATTTGGTCACGGAGGCCCCTCATACCTTTTGATATAATGCAAATATTGTGTTAAATCTGGAGATGACATATCAGTTATAGAGGAAAAACTACAATATAGCCTTAATATGATTATTAAGTGGTGTAAAATAAATAATATGCTTTTACACCCTAAAAAATCTAGAAGTATGCTGGTAGGTAGTAGACAAAAGCTAAAGATTGCAAAAGCATTAAATTTGAAAATTAACGACTCAACTCTTGACAATGTAGAATCACAAAAACTGCTTGGTATTTATGTTGAAAATACACTCAATTGGCACTGTCAGGTAAATGATGTGTGTAAAAAATTGAACTCTAAAGTTAATTTATTTAGGCGTATAAAGTACTTTTTAAATGAGGAATCTCGTATGCTTTTTTATAATGCATACCTTCTTCCTATTTTTGATTATTGTTGTAATATATGGGGAAAAGAAAACAAAAAATATATATGCCAAATATACAAAATACAAACACGAATTTGCAAAATTATTCTAGACCTTCCAATGAGAAACCAATCAGAAAATTTATACAAAAGATTAAAAATATTGCCTTTCAAGAAAAGATGTATTTTTCACACCGGTGTCCAAGTATATAAAGCACTGAATAATATGTCCCCTCAATATATCCGAGACTTACTTACCATATCTAATAATCAAAAGTATAATCTAAGAATAATATCTCACGGAAATTTAATTTCGTCTTACAAACCACGTACTAATTATTAATCAACTTTAGCACGGTCCGTATGTATTATATATACAAGATACGCTCTTTATATTCATACATGTGTTTTTTATTATTATGTTTTCTAATAAAGGGTGTCTGTCTTAGTTTCAAGTTTTTTGACTGTGTTAATTTTGTAAGTTAATTTTACTTTTTAAATTGCAGATTAAAATGATGCACTGATGAAAGTATTATGTTTAATGATAAATAAAATGAATTGTATGAATGTTCAGTATATGTGTTAATATATGTTAAAATTGTGATAACCATTTAATCATTTCTTTTTACATGTTATATTTTCTTTGATTGATATGTGTTCTTTTGTGTGTGTGTTTTTATTTTTTATTTTTATTTTAGAAGGCCGCATTGTAAATAAGATGTTGCAATCTGTGTGACCTTCGGTAAATAAAGTTATAATTATTATTATTATTATTATTATTATTATTATTAAACAATAGCTGAAAGTAATGACATATGAAATACAAATATCTTATTTGACATTCAAGTATAATCTTTCATAAGCATCAGCTAAATTGTTATGTCATTGGTTTACTGTATAAATTTTGTTTAGTCTTTGGGCCCCGGATCAGCGGGTTTGAGTGCTATATTTTCCTTGAATACTTTAGTTGTTCAGATGTGTGTTGAGGAACATCAGTCATTGATAAAATAGAGAAAAAAAGAACCCCTAAAGAAAGTCCAAAACGGCAAAATTGAAAATGTTGCAGGTTCCGTTTGATAAAGCCCAAATTAACACTGTCCCGGTACTGGCCGGCCACGGTATCGCGTACTGTGTCTTAAGCCGGTGAACCGGGGTGTTCCGTGGTGTTTTTCTGAGAAATCAAATCGCGTTTACACACCCCGACATAGCCCAGGTGTATTCCATGTTCAGAGCCAGATATAGCACCGGATATATAGGATAAGCGCCGATGCTAAATCGGTGTATTCCTGCTTGATTCCGGTGGAGACCCGACTTGACACGGTTTCATCACGGTCAATCCCGACCATCGCCGATTTTGCCACGGTAACGCTACTTTTAATGCCTGTACTGTCCCGGTGACACGTTAATGCACCGATGCTGCCGGTTCAAGTTTATGAGAATAAAACTGCCTGACCACGTTGACATCAGTCATTTGGTAAAAACTCAGCAGAGATGCCATCAAAAGGACAGGGGATGAAAGTTAGAAAAAAACTGTGCCTACAACGCCTACAGAGCTTGAGGTACCTGAAGCTGAAAATGCGCCAGCCGAAGATTTTTTCCTACTCTCATTTAACAAATTGTCCATGCTCGTGTACCTTCTCTAAACAAAATGATCCAAAGTAGCACTTC